GGGCTAACAGTGGGAGCTCACCCCGCTCCCCGGATTCAAACCTGCAACAATTCGGTTAGCAAGTTCAGCAGCTCAGCGGTTTAACCCACTGCACTATCAGGGGCTCCAACCCTTTACAAAGGAAGTATAATGTATGTATGCCCTCTCTGTGCATCAACTCTGAGACCATCATGCAATGGGTTAAAGGGTATCCTGTGAAGACTCGCTTCTCTCTCTCTCAGTATTTGACATGCTGCTTGTTTTCGGCCATGGACACCCCCTAATCCCCAGCCCACCCAAAACAAAGGAGCCTCTGTACCACTCTGAGAAGGAAGAGACCATCCCATTCTCACATCCTGGTTTCCTGCCCTTCTCCCATTAGCAACAGGAACATCCTATTCAACACCACCACCCCATAAATAAGCCACGCCTCTATTTGATTTTAATCAGAGCTTCCTACAGAAGAGCCCCTCTTCCTCCCCTCAACATTTCCTGCTTCCTCCCCCCCCCCCCCCCCCCCCCCCCCCCCCGCCCAGCCACTTAATCCCTATTGATTTGTATCACTTCCTCCCCTACGGATCGCCCCCAAAACTGCCTCTGGAGCCTTGTTGTCTCCTCTGCCAAAATATGACACAGAAACACATAAATATATATAGGACTAGTTGTACCCGCCACACATTGCAGTGGCCAACCTTACCTCCCTCTTTCCTTCCTTCCTTTTTTTTCTTTCATTTTCTCCTTCCTTCTCTACCTCTTTCCTTCCTCGCCCCTTTTTCTTTTCCTTCCTTTTTTCTCTCCTTTCTGCCTTCTCTACCTCTTATCTTCCTTCGCTTTTTCTTCTATCCTTCCTTCCCGCTTTCCTTCCTTTTTTCTTTCATTTTCTCCTTCCTTCTCTACTTCTTTCCTTCCTTCCCTCCTTTTTTCTTTTCCTTCCTTTTTTCTCTCCTTTCTGCCTTCTCTACCTCTTATCTTCCTTCGCTTTTTCTTCTATCCTTCCTTCCCTCTTTCCTTCCTTTTTTCTTTCATTTTCTCCTTCCTTCTCTACTTCTTTCCTTCCTTCCCTCCTTTTTTCTTTTCCTTCCTTTTTTCTCTCCTTTCTGCCTTCTCTACCTCTTACCTTCCTTCACTTTTTCCTTCTATCCTTCCCTCTTTCCTTCCCTCCCTCTTACTTTCCTTCCTTTTTTTTCATTTTCTCCTTCCTTCTCTACCTCTTTCCTTCTTCTCCCCTTTTTATTTTCCTTCCTTTTTTCTCTCCTTTCTGCCTTCTCTACCTCTTACCTTCCTTCGCTTTTTCCTTCTATCCTTTCTCCCCTCTTTCCTTCCTTCCCTCCCTCTTTCTCTCCTTATTTCCCTCCTTCCTTCCCCCCCTTCCCTTCCTTCTCTCCTTTTTTTCTTTCATTTTCTCCTCCTTCTCTACCTCTTTCCTTCCTTCCCTCCTTCTTTCTCTCCTTCTCTCCTTCTCTCCTCTTTCCTTCCTTCTTTTTCCTTCTTCCTTCCTTCCCTCCCTTTCTCTCCTTCCTTCCTCCCTTTTCTTCTTCCCTCCTTTTTCTTTCTTTTCTCCTTCCTTCTCTACCTCTTTTTCCTTCCTCCTTCTTTCTCTCCTTTCCTTCTTTCTTTCCTTCCTTCTTTTTCCTTTCTTCCTTCCTTCCCTCCCTCTTCTCTCCTTCTTTCCCTCCTTCCTTCCTTCCCTTCTTTCTTCCTCCTTTCTTTCTTTCTCCTTCCTTTCTCTCCTCTTCCTTCCCCCTTTTTCTTTTTTTTTTCTCCCTTTCTGTCCTTCTCACTCTTTCCTTCCTTCCTTTCCCTTCTTCCTTCCTTCCGTCCCTTTCTCTCCTTCTTTTCCTCCTTCCTTTGCTTCCCTTTTTTCTTTCCTTCTTGCCTTCCTTCCTTTTCTACCTCTTTCCTTCCTCCCCCTTTTTCTTTACCTTTCCCTTTCTCTCCTTTCTTCCTCCTAATACCTCTTTCCTTCCTTCCTTTGCTTTCATTCTTCTTTCTTTCTTTCTTTCTTTCTCCCTTTCCTTCCCTCCTTTTCTGTATAGTCATTTAGCTTTTTGTCATTTAGCTTTTGGGGGGTTTTGAGTCCTTTCTGCTGTTTTTTTTCTTTTTGGAAAGGGGTTTATGAGTGATGGTCACTCGTTGGTCTGTTAGGGGTATAGTCTCCAAATTTCATGTCAATTCATCCAGTGGTTTTTGAGTTATGTTAATTCCACAAATGATCATTACATTTTTATTTATATAGATAGAGAGATGACAGATGCAATCTTACAGACCCAGCTATGCATACAAATTGAGCATCCCTTATCTGTAAAACTAAAATACTGCAAAATCCAAAACTGTCAGAATGGCGACTGAGAGAGTGAGATCTTTTCTGACATTATTATTATATGACATTATTTAAAGCATTGCTTAAAGGGGATGGATACAAAGCACCTATGAAACATACATAGATCTCATGTTTAGACACAGGTTCTAACTCCAAGATGTCTCATGATGGAGATGCGGGAAAAAAATAATTCTGAAATCTGGTCCCAAACGGTTTGGATAAGCGAGACTCAACCTACATATATTTGTATCTAGATATATATGTGTAGCAGTTTTGTTTACTTTGTATTCCAGACTAAGTCAGGTATAGCTTTCTATATACAACAAACTCTCAGTTAACTCATGGCACTCATGGGGATTGGTTGATGCCAGATAAATGTAATTTCTGGTTGCTTGAGAGTTACTATAGGTCTACTATAATGCACCATACTATACCGTACCATAAACTCTGTATTGACTTGATATTAATATGGAAACACAACCAGTTCTCCTGTATTATAAAAACCCAATTTTTACGGTTGGTTTTGATTTAACGTTTACTGAAAAGTATTATCTTTTCAAGATTTTTTTTAGTGTTTCCGTTGCTTGAGAGTTTTGGTTAATTGAGAGTCTACAGCATATCTGTATTGATATAGAAATATATCTGTTATGAATGTATACAGGTACATCTGATTAGATGTGTGGGTGTGTGTATAATAGACAT